TGGTCCGGCCTCCTCCGGCGTCATACCCTACCGGGCGCGTTTCAGAAGCATTTCAGAAGCGGAGCGTCTCACCTGCCGGCTTGCAGTTTATGTTGATTTGGGCATATTTCCTGGACAGGCTACTTTGTACAGACAAAGTTAATAATAAATGTAATATTCCAGTTATAAACGACATGAATCAAAGATGTGTTGTTGTATTTTAATGGCAAAAAAATGCATTCATCATCATAATTATTCTATATATATAATTTACACAGTGCCTGTAAACCGGAGGAGAACGCTGGCATTTCTCCTCCTATTTGAAAGACTACGGAAGGATAGGGTCTGCAAAATTAGTTTATTTTGGGGATGGGCCGGATGCTCTGACCGTTCCACTTCCTGCCCGGCACCTCTGCAGCGCCTCGCGTTAAGTCGGAAATAGACTTGCATCCTATTTTGAGCAGAGCCCAGCGCCGAGACGCTTCTGGGACGCTTCTGATCCGTAATGCGGCGCGTCTGGTGGAATAGCACCCATTGACTAGAGTGGCCGCGATCTTTGCGAACGCCGCGGCGCAGCCGTAGCGGCCCGTCCACACAGCGGTGTGCGTTGAAGCTTGCCGGCGGGCGTGTCTGAAACTCGACCAACAACCAATCACATGAATCTCCCGCCCCTGACACACAAGCAGCGGTTTGATTGGCTAGAGCTTGTACTGGCATATGATTCGATTGGCTGACGCTTCTGCCGAGGCTTCAAAAGTTGAACATTGCTCAACTTTTGCATCGAGCTTCCCACAATGCAGTTCGGCGAAAAGTGACGTCACCCCATTCAAAGTGAATGGTGAAGCTTTCAACGCACGCCGCTGTGTGGACGGGCCGTAACGCGGCCGTAACGCGGCCGTAAGGCGGCCGTAACGCGACGCAGACGGACCCGGTGGAATCTCGGGGTGAGGTTAAGATTAAATAAATGAATAAATGAAAAGGACTCATTTCTGTTTCCTGATCTCTCCGACTCACTTCAAAGTACTTTTCCAATTTAAAACAGGATTTTTTGTGGATGAAAAAGCTTTCGTTCTTGCTGCCTTCACTGTGAAGTAGACCGAGGTTCTATTGCACACAAACTGTATGAGAAGCCATTCACCTCAGCTCAGATAATGCATGTTTTGGAGTTTTCAGCCAATATACCGTGCATTATAAAAGGGACTGCCCCAGTGCCCCATCTAGAGGACCCAGTCTGACATTGGATTCCTTTATTTTGAAGTTTTTTTCATTTCTCAGCCATGATTCATAAATATTCAGAGACAGCAACGATAAGTTGAACCACTCAGTTCCTTATATGTAGTTTGCATGAAAAGTTTCTTATTACAAAATGCAAAGGGAGGTGAGAGGGCAGGGGTGAAAGGTGAGGGATGGTCTCCATAGTTACCTTTCCCATTGGACGGGGAGGAGCAGTCCTCTTCAGTGACATCGTTCCCCTGGAGAAAACAGAGAGAGCTCAGTATTAGTATATATTTAATGGTGATATTCAAAATATAAATCAACATTATACGCTTCAGGTCTTTCTTTTTTTTTAAATTAGGCTACATGAATATTTTTGATAATATACTTTTTGTAAAATTGGGTTTTAGCAGTAATTGCATTTGATTGTTTCTGACTCTTCTGATATAAACAAAGTACAAATGTCAAGATTTATTGAAAAAAGATAAATGTTATAATTTCCAAAATTCAAAACATGTTTTTTATAAAACAAAAAACGTTCAATCCATATTTGTTGGTGTTAAAGATTTTAAAAACAAAAAACTGTCTTTTTGAAAAAATCCTGCAATCAAGACTTTTTTTAATCAAACGTAACAGTAAGTGCACTGTAGAGGACGTCAACACCATTTTAGTGTGAAAAGACAGAATTAACCGATGAACTATGTAACATATTATACTTATAGAGTGATATAATACAATAATAAATTCAGCTTTGTTTAAAAAATAAATAAGTAATTGATCTGAACATTGCTTTAAATTTAGCCACTAAAGAACTTTTGATGAAAGCTGCCACATCTCAAAAGACTTTGTAGTCAATGTACTGGGAAAAGTACTGAATGGGTCTCCAGTCTGCATGGGTTGTTGGGTCATCTGACTAGTTTTATGGAATCTCCAGTTGACTATACTCATAGGCACCACTTAAAATAAAATAAAAAGCAATAAACATACGTGCTACTCTTGGCTCACAGAGAGCCACATCTTTCCTGCACATCCCTATCTGTCTCCGAGTCTGTATCTGAACCTCCTGCATCTGTTTATCCTCACCCTCTTCTATACCAGGTGTAACATCATCATCTCTCTCTTCATCCAAGAGCTCCAAATCTGAATATCCCTGAACTAAAGAGCTGTTATTTCAAAACACAAATTATTTAACTACTTTCAGAACTAATTGTATTATTCATAACATGTTTAAAAAACAAGCACAATGGCCCACCAGTGTCTCACTCACCTCTGAGTCCTGCTCCTCCACAGCCACTGAGTAGTTTTGTTCCTTTGGCTCCTGGGAAAACTCCTGAATGAAAGACACAAAGGAAACCAAAGTGTTAAAGGTCCCCTATTATACAGTTTTTCATCAATATATTATAGGTCTCAGATATATACAAAACATTTCTCTGAAGTGTTTGGCTCGAAATACCAAACAGATCATTGTAGCATCCCATAATCCCCTCTGTTTCAAAAGTACTTACTTAGATATTTGGTTAAAAATAACACAATGGTGCTCTAGGAGGAGAATCAGGTGATAAGGGGTGTTACCTTGGTTGGTTATTGACTAATGGTTACGCAAGCCAAAAAATCGTTATGACATCATAAAGTGGCCAAAATCTGATCATCTCATTTTCAGACAGTTTTTTATATAAATGGATCAGGACAAAAAGTGAGCAAATCTTTTTTCCTGAAACTTTCAGAATCTCGATTTTGCATAATAGGTCCCCTTTAAATAGATGTCAGGATGGAACAGCGTATTCTCTTCCCTCCCTGGATTCTCACCCCGTCCTGCTGCGACGGTCCTCGGCTCTCCATGGGGGCGTCCTGGTTCTCGTCCCCCTCAGCGTCTCCGCCCTCATCCCCCCCGGGCTCGCCTTCTGCCCCCGCCAGGTAGGACCCTGACATGGAGGACATGGTGTCAGTGCTGATGTGGGAGTGCTGCGAGTGGGACGAGGCCATGGACATCACTGACTGGACCAGGCTGGTGCTCACTGGGTCTGACAGACAGACGGACACACACATCACGTTCGGGCTCCGGCTCCGAGGACTTGTTTCCTCTGGTTGCCGGGTAACATTCCCACCATAAAAATAAAAAAAAGTAATAATCTTACCTTCAGACCCTATTGGATGTTCTGGCCATCTGTTTTTTTTAAGTGAGCACCTTGAACAACCATCTTATTGTGCTTCCCTCTGTATTTTGTTCTATTACATTTTTCATGAAGTAGTGAATATTTGAAACCAGAGTATTCCAATTTATTTTGAGTAAATCAATTCGACAGCTATGTCAGAGACACAGGATGGACTACACAGGGATTCACCATGTTGGTCACTTTATGGAACCTTTTGTTCCAGCTGGAATAACACTCTTCCTGTTTTGTGCCAAAAAGCCATTTAGCGGAATTCCCATAAAAGCAGATCCAGTGGCACAGACGTTAAGTGCAGAGGTGGTACAAGCTTATTATTTATTTATGTTAAAATGCTTGATGCAGCGCCTGGAGGTTTGCTTTTTTTCCTCCTCAGCCTCGGTCACAACATGAAGGGGGAAATGTTTATAGACTACTCTGATGCAGCCTTAAATGCCTTGTTGATGTTGACACAATAATGTTACTAGGTCCAAGCAGGTGATTGCAGTTAAGGCTTTTACATAAACGTGAAGACATGAGTCTTACATGTAAAATCACATTTATGTAATATGATGAATGTTTGAAAGAGGCTTAAATACAGAATGAGCTCATGAGCCCCAAGATACTTTTATCTCTTTTTTTGTTGTTGTTTCTGTTTGTCTCACTGAATATCTGATTATTTTAATAGTTTTATTAACTTATTAACTGATCGACATCAGAGATGAAAAATATCATCCCTGTGTTTTTTTATATTGGAAACTGTATTTAAATTATGTGCGGGCATGTATGAATGTTGGTATGGATGTGTGGGCATATGTTTATGTGTGTATATGTTTATATAGATACAGTGGGGGAAAAAAGTATTTAGTCAGCCACCAATTGTGCAAGTTCTCCCACTTACAAATATGAGAGAGGCCTGTAATTGTCATCCTAGGTATACCTCAACTATGAGAGACAAAATGAGAAAAAAAAAATCCGGAAAATCACATCACTGATTTTTAAAGACTTTATTTGCAAATTATGGTGGAAAATAAGTATTTGGTCAATAACAAAAGTTCATCTCAATACTTTGTTATATACCCTTTGTTGGCAATGACAGAGGTCAAACGTTTTCTGTAAGTCTTCACAAGGTTTTCACACACTGTTGCTGGTATTTTGGCCAATTCCTCCATGCAGATCTCCTCTAGAGCAGTGATGTTTTGGGGCTGTCGCTGGGCAACACGACTTTCAACTCCCTCCAAAGATTTTCTATGGGGTTGAGATCTGGAGACTGGCTAGGCCACTCCAGGACCTTGAAATGCTTCTTACGAAGCCACTCCTTCGTTGCCCGGGCGGTGAGTTTGGGATCATTGTCATGCTGAAAGACCCAGCCACGTTTCATCTTCAATGCCCTTGCTGATGGAAGGAGGTTGTCACTCAAGATCTCACGATACATGGCCCCATTCATTCTTTCCTTTACACGGATCAGTCGTCCTGGTCCCTTTGCAGAAAAACAGCCTCAAAGCATGATGTTTCCACCCCCATGTTTCACAGTAAAACAGCCTCAAAGCATGATGTTTCCACCCCCATGTTTCACAGTAGGTATGGTGTTCTTTGGATGCAACTAAGCATTCTTTCTCCTCCAAACACGTCTAGTTGAGTTTTTACCAAAAAGTTCTATTTTGGTTTCATCTGACCATATGACATTCTCCCAATCCTCTTCTGGATCTTCTAAATGCTCTCTAGCAAACTTCAGACGGGCCTGGACATGTACTGGCTTAAGCAGGGGGACACGTCTGGCACTGCAGGATTTGAGTCCCTGGCGGCGTAGTGTGTTACTGATGGTAGCCTTTGTTACTTTGGTCCCAGCTCTCTGCAGGTCATTGACTAGGTCCCCCCGTGTGGTTCTGGGATTTTTGCTCACCGTTCTTGTTATCATTTTGACCCCACGGGGTGAGATCTTGCGTGGAGCCCCAGATCGAGGGAGATTATAAGTGGTCTTGTATGTCTGAC